CGTAAAATTGGACTTAATTTCAAAGCTGAGAAGAGTTGGCTGAGACTTGTCGGTAGTTACTCCCGGATGAATTTTCAGTCAGCCCGCCGGTAGATTTTCAAACGAGGTTTGCTAAGCCTCGTACGGCCTTACCTGGAGTTTGTAACTGTAGTCTCACCTCTACATCACTTCAGGAGGTCAAGTGAAGTGTGGGACTTATCTGGAAGATTTGGAACAAATCTGTTCACGGACTCAGGCCTGAAACATACGGGTAACCATTAGTGGCGCTTGATTTACACCCTCTGCAAGAAAGACAACTAAGGAGGGGTGTCATAATGGCTCACAGTAGCCAGATGTCTGGATAGTGACTTCTTCACCCATTCAGCCTTAGTTGTAACGTAAATCTCGAGGCACACAGAAGTTAAGCCTCGGACTCAGCAGGTTAGATTTCAGGCCCAACTCACACCCAAAAAAAGCTGCTGGACCTTGGAATACTTTCTGCTGAAGGAGTGGTCTAAAGCTATTTCATCCGGATCCTTTAAACACTAAGTCGATACCTGCCTACTATATTGGCATGAGTCCAGTCACCATTAACTAGTTCCTCCTGCTTCAACCTCCATCTTTTTTCTTCTGATTTGTTGTCACATAGGTTGATAACCATAAGAAATTGCCGCCCTCCACTTCTACACACAGAGGTCATTTACGTTCCTTTACGAAATCAATTTCAAGCTTGTTGTACGACAAACAAATGTTTTTCTTCACCACAAATATAGAACCTTGATTAGGTGAAGGTTGCTGATTTTTCTACATGGGGGTTTGGTATTTAGAGATGTGAGAAACTACGATTGCTGAATATTGGATGTTGGGTCGGTTATTAAGCTGAGCGCTACCTCACATGGATGCCACGCACTTCAAACCTAGTCAGCAACATTTCAGTTTAATTCTTACCACGGTGAATCAATAATGTTTGTCGGTTGTTTTTGATTATTAGAATTAGATCCATCCTTTGTGTTTGCCGAATCGCTGAAATTCTGTTTCCTCTTGCCTTCCAGTTTCTTTTGCTGAGTGTAATACCACCTGCAAACTACTGCACAACCTTTGGTTGCCCTGCAACAACGTACCTCTAGGTTGGACAAAACCCTATCGTCAACTGCTCAATACATGAGTTCAAGGGGAGCTTTGGAATGGCTTTTGAAGGAAATCTCCGATACTAAATCGCAAACAAAGTTTGCGAAAAATTATGATTCCTGGTTAGATTCATACTGCTTAAGCAGTGAGGTAGATAAATAATGGAAGTTTGATTTTTGCAGGCAGATTTGGCGGTTCACAAGGAGAAGTTGAAGGAATTGCATTCATGCATGAAAGATGCATTGTCATCTACAAGATCCTCTGGTGGATCCATAATACTTCTGACTGGACCTACAGGTTGTGGTAAAACTACTGCTGTTCGCCTTCTTTCCCGTTCTTTACCCCGGAAAGCTAACGTAGTGGAATTCGTAGATGAAGGCATTGGCTACGACGAGTACACAGAACTTGAAAAGTTTGTTTCATCCTCAGGATTTTATGGTGGGAGACCTGTCTTATTCCTTGATTCTGAGGCATCGCCGGAGTGTACTTCTTATGGAACAGTTATGATTCTAGAGGTTGGTAAACTTACGTGTTGTGCACTTTGCCTCCTTAGTTATTATCGTTGCAACTACTTTCATCATGGTTACTGTAGGGGTGATGTTTGTAGATCACTTTACATCAGTTAAGCTATTCAGATTTACTTCAAAAATCGCCAACCTATGGGCTGCAGAGGCTGCTCTTTAGACATCAAGTGGGCAAGGCTTTTTAGGTCTAATTTAAGGTCGTATGCTGTAGCACAATTTGGCTGAAGTTTTATGGCTCATACTCTTAATTCATTAGATTTTTTGTTTATCTCTAGCTTATTTCGCGTACACCTTCGCAATGATGTCATTTTTAATAAAGCTTGGTAACATTTTTCATCTGTAACAGGCAACGCGTACTTAACATCAACTAGACAGGGTGGCTGCAGTTCACCGTTTCAGCAGTTAATGGTGAATGTGTGCTGGTTGTTATTGTGGTTTAAAGTACTTGTCACGAAAATGGATAGGCATAATAGATCAGTTATGAGTTTATTAGCTGGTTATTAGTTTGTGTTTATTACACTGGTTACCACTCAGCTGCTGAGATTATAACCCTGGTGATTTCTCAAGTTCCACACTAGTGGTATTGGTTTGTCGACTTGTTTATGTACATTCCAAGTTATGTAATTGTATTTTTTGATTCTTAGTGAAATGTAAATCTATCAAGTCTGGAGTCAAGGGCTGAAAAAAGTGTCCGCTAATCAGTTTTGTTGCCGTTTTGATTGTAAAAAGAAAATCATAGTGCATAACCGTGGGCATTTTAGTCATTTATTATAGCAACCGAATTAGTACCTCAGCAATATGTTGGACAATAGTTATAGCTTTTTCGCACTGCTAATATCCTATATTGTATGGCCGTTGACGCTTTTAAGCTGGGAAGAAATTTACCCGTGCTGGATTGCCTTGACTCAGTTATCATTTCAATGTTTATACAGTTGCACGGGTTATCAGTTATAATAACCAGGCAATTTATCGTGCATATAAATACAGTATGAGAAGACATGTGACGCTATGTGGTCGTATAGACTGGCATATGCTGAGCGGTCTGAACATTGAAAGTAAAGTGATAGTTCCTCAGGTTTCTATCATTAAAAAAAGTGAGTTAGGAGTTTCCAGGTAACTAACCATAGATTTCAAAAACTGTTTGTTTCCTGGTCGGTTTCGCTTATGGATTTAATAAACGTAGCAATATGGCTAATTTGAGCAGTTTGAGATTAAACCGTCTGACGTGGATCTGGGAGTGGAGAAAACCACAGTATAACTTTTACAGTTGATATCTGTTCATCCTTGTTCATTATCTGTTTACGTGGTTTCATAATTCGTATGCGCTGAAACATATAAAGCCTATAGTAGGGAATACTGGAAACTACAATTTTGTTGGGGTTTCTATTTAGGTAATGGAAATTGCAAACTGAACGGTGGAAATTATTTGACATGCTTATTGGCATTTCCTGGCGGTACAAACATACTTCTGACAATTGAGCTAATGACCACAATTGCCTTCATAGTTCAACTACGTTTCATCTCACCATTCTCACCAAGTAGCATTCTATTGCTGTTTATGTAAAACGACATACTTTTCAGGATTAGTCTGAGAGTTCTTCTTGTTCGCCTTCCCTTTATTTTCTTTTTTTCTTTCTTTTTGGGAGTTATTTTTCTGTTGGAATGGGTTTTTTCACCTGTAGTTTCTTTGAAGTACAGCCCCTCAAATGGCATATAATTAAGCTTTTTGTTTGTAACCTAACTTTTTGTAGAGCATTGGTGTTGCCTTTGTCATCAGCTACTTTAATTTTTACCTCAAAATGATTTTTTACGTCTGGTATCCTCTGAAACACTGTCAAAATAAGCAGCTACTGGATTTTTAGCTTTAATTACACATTACACAATTAATATTATTCTGTTTTATAATAGCCACTTACTCTTAGCATATTTCTATTGAAACATTTTTTAATTAACTATCCAACCGGAAGACACCCCAAAGAGAAACACTTTTCAAGATTATCCTACGGTTAAATTTATCTTTAAAGCATAAACAACAGGAGTACAATCTCTTCTGAAAAAAATGCAGTTTACTTAACACCTCGAGCAAAGATTTGAATATGCTTGGCATGCAATTTACCCCTGTCAAACGCAAGATGATGCCTCAGAACCGGTCTGCAACAACTCTCAATTTCAGCATAGGAAGTGAACTAGTCGAACACTGCGCTTACTTGATAGTTACATCCACTCGAATCGGTTAGTTGCAGACAGAATTTCAGCTCACATACAGAAGGTCTGTTAAGCACTTGCCAACTGACGTCATCTCAGACACTGACTGGTAAGACACGCGACCACATATCAGAGACGGGTTAAACTGTGCAACAGTTCACTCTGTCCCACTGTACAGCTGTGAGAGATGGTTGTTGCAAATCGAAGATATAAAGTAAAGAGGTGACAATGTTTTGACCACACATGTCTTCGTTGCATTGCTCACGTGTGTTGATAAGAATGCTGTTAGACGTGGTATGCTAATCAAGGAAGGCAATCAGTCGATGAGGTTGTGAACCGTCACCGACTGAGATGACTTCTACATGTGATACACATGCGTGTCGAGCCACTGCTCATATCGACATATAATGTTAGGTGAATAGGATTGAGTTGGAATAAGGCTAGAGTGGTCAAACTAAGATGTGGTACTGGTCGATGAAGTCTTTGCTCGTCAGTGTGATCTGTGTGGATAGGTGTAGATTTCCTAACTGGGGCCCCTGAGAAGATAGGTACCAGTAGTTGAAGATTCTTCAACGTAGCTGAAAATCGATGACTGTGGTAGGTTGGGAACAGGTTGATAGGTGTGTCGGTTAGCTCATCCATTTGTGAAAATATACCTTTTTGACAGGATGATCAATGGTGCAGCATCGTCTCGAATTTCGTAAACAAAATGCAGTGTTAAACCAACATAAGCTATGACTATAACTATATCAGCGGAACTGTGGTTCATTCGCTTAGGCAGTTGACTTCCGACCAGTGAGTCATGGGTTCAAAACGTTCCACCTACCGAAGTTTGGGTAGCCAAGTAGCCCTCACACAATAGGTGTTGCTCGTTGCCTGCTACATGAACGTTCACAAGGTTGCTAGTGCACTGCGTCACGCAATAGCTGTGACAGTCCACCATTAAGATAATGTAACCTGAATTCAGTACTGTGAAAATCGCATAATGAAATTGAAGAATAATGCTTTGCAAAAATACTAGCAAGAACAGTTACTTGACAATATAGCGAAATAAATTTATTTAGAAGTGACTGGATGAATTTCAAAAGTACGAAAACAGATAAAGTTTTATTTACAGATGAACAGAAGTGCAAGCAAGCAGTTGTCATCAATACATGCAACACGCTATTTTGTGTTGGATGAGTTTCTGTTACTGTTTTCTCTACTGAAAAGTTCATGCACAGGTAACCCGATCGCCGACAACAGATTAGCTGCAGGACCACCAGGCTGGCTATGGGCCTGATTCGATTGGTTTCTAATAGAGGCACATAAGTTACGAGCAACATATTCATCCAATTCCGAATCAGAAGTTTCTACACAGCTTTCTGTTGATGAACCAATTTCTTCAGAAAAGTCATCGGAATCACAGCTAGTCATATCAAAAGTAAAACTTGTATCCTCTGGTTGAGCAAGTTGTATATTTCCACGTGGCTTCTAAAAATAGTCAATAAATTACATTAATCAAACAAGGAAACATTCATAACTTCCATACACATCTCACTGAAAATTCCTGATAGCCAGCTGTTAAAGTGAACGTAGTTGTCAACTTTGCATATCACAATGATCCAAATGAACTATGCTGGTAAGAAAATTTGTTCTTTAAGGTCATAATATACCAGCAAGGTTTATTGGATGGTGGAAATAAAAGAAGTGGTTACTGTTATAATGCAAATAGCTATAATGAAGGTTTGAATACGAAGTCGTGTTGTTGGCTCGATCGGATGTGACAGCAATGATGAAGAGAAACGTATTCCAAATATTATCAAGTTTCCACTCGATCCATTCAGATTATTTACAGCCATCTCAACTTCCGTGAGTGTTGGAGGTTCTATCTCGATGTTCCATTTACGACCCAACTAGATAGTGGGTATCGGAATAATTGCTGGGGACAAAATGAGCAAGCCTTGAAAGTGTTCCGGCCTTCTTTTCAATGATCTCCCCTGAAACTGAATCAAAGACCTATCCTTTTCCACAATAGTTTCATTAAACATTGACATTTTGGTCCGAGTTTCCTTATTAATTTGAAATCACTGTCAGTTGTTATATATCACACGGCAGTTTCCGTCGCTCTAGCCATCGCCACTCACCACTGCTCATGATCTCTGCGTGAACTTCTTGTCAGTTTACATTTGAACTGCTCCCGATCCCTGTGGGGTTGAATTCTGCAGGGATGCGTTCGCATGCAGTCACAAATTTGGCAAAAGCTGCTGAGATTGGCCTGCTCTCTACTAACATTTTTCAAAAAGTAAGTTAGGTCCCTAACGATAACTTTAAAGCAGATTCGAAATCGTGCCAGGCTCCTTCTGGATGAGGGGTGTCCTTTTGTTTCGAATAACTATCTAGCCAGTTTCTTACTGAAAGCATTCTCAATATTCAGCTGCACTCGCGTTGGCTTTGTTCCCATGAATTTCTTACATCTATTTAAAGGCAGACATACACGTGCTCAAACTAAGACGTGGTTGCTGTTCAAATGCAAGCTATAGCAGGAGCGGAAATCTTCCACTAACCCACTCCAACTATAAATGATAGCAATATGGTCTGTGTCCACCGTTAAGTTGAGATTATTGCATACGATGTCTGACCGGGTTATATTGATGTCTCAAGTTCGTCCTGCTGACAAACAGATAGTTGTTTGAGCATATTTGTATCAGACAGTCACTGTTATCAATTCATTCGGCAGGGATTCCGATGGTGTTACCTGCATGCTATAGCCTACCCATTTCCGGAATAAAATCATCTGCTATGACAAGAACATTCGGATACCTGGCTTTTAGAAGATCGAACAGTTGTCAGTAAAAACTCATCCTTCACTTCATCCTAGTTGCAATCAGTGCATGCGTAAGTAGAGGTTACAAAGAGACGATAGTGAGTTCCACTATTATTTTTAGTCCTTACCACCCGCTTAGTCCAACAGCAAAGAAGTGACTGCCAAGTGAGACACATTCGAGTAGTACACTTTCTATCTTAGCTTTAAATCTTATACCTCAACATTGAAGACCACGAGAACTAGCCACCTAATCTTCAGAAACAAGAAGAGTGAATTTAAAGGATTCACCGTATTGGCGGGGTGAACTAAAGTAAATGAACGCACTTGGATAATGAATGATTCTCGCAAACAAATCACATAATACTGGTTCAAGATACCAGAGTTTTGTCCAGCTAAGCATGTAGACCGACTAAACTGACAGAGGGAACATTGGAAGCTAAAATACACAAAAGGCAAAGCAGCTTGGGCACACCAGCGATGATTTTCCGTTAACCTGAATCGTCATCAGGTGTACCACAGCTGGAAGGAACTAAATCTGACATACGAATATTAATCAAGAGATGTAAGGAATCAAATATTAGATGTGTTTACCTGGTTTACAATACACAGTAAAATAGTATTATTTATGATTATGAACAATAATTTATGGTCGAAACGTCATCAAGTAAATAATACTATATAACCACGTGCTACAAATCAAATCACCAAATCCGATCAGCTATTAAACTCTACTACAGTACGCAGGTTTCACACATAGATGCGAGCAAACCAAAGAAGGTATATATGTGAGGAAGGTTAAAATTGATTGGGAAAAAATGAGGAAGCATGGCTTAGATGTCGTAGGAATCTGTGAAAGCAGATGGAATACTAGTGAACTCTCCAAACTGTCAACTAGAGAGTCAATTATCTACTCCAATATTGTCACACAGACGACAACCACAAGCACACTGAGTTTTCAAGTGGCTATCACGATGTCCCCAACAGCATCGAAGGCTCTGTCTCATGCAGTGGAAAGAATCTCCTCCACGATCAGGATCATGACAGCAAGATTCAACTCAAAAGGAAGGAAACTCACAATCATACAATGCTACGCTACGCTATGCTATGCACCTACAAATAATGCAGATGAAGAGAAGGAGGAATTCTACAGACAACTGCAATCAGTACTGGACAAGACACAACCCAACCCAACCCAACTCCAATTGGCGATTGTGACATCAAAATTCTAATGGGTGACATGAATACCAGCCAAACTGGGAGCACACAACATAGGAAGAGAAGCAATCACGGGTCGAGAGGTGCTGGGTGAAATTATGAATGAGAATGGAGAACTGTTTGCAGACTTCTGCGCAATCAACAATTTGGTGATCGGAGACAGTGTATACAAACACAAGGATATTCACACGGCAGTGACATGAATTTGATTTCACCAGACACCAGGATACACTAAAAATCAGATCGATCTCATCCCAATCTGAAGAAAGTGGAGATGCAGCCTACTGGACACAAGATCACATCGAGAAGAGAGAGGAGCAGATGTAGGTTCACACCACTCAACATCTAGTGCAAGGAACCTACCCTCAAAATCAAGTCTTCAAAGAAGAAGCTGGTGATAGACGACCACAGTTCAAGTTGAACACGCAGAACAGAAACTGAACACACTGAACTGAAGGATGAAACTACTAAGGACATCTTCGCGTCAGTCAGCCATCAGGAAGAAATGGGAGACATTGAGCAACACATCCGAGGAAACCTGTGTGGAAGAAGACTGGAACTCATTGAAAGCTGTGTGGGAAGAAACCTGCATAACTGTATTAGGAAGGAAGGAGAAAGAAGATAAGGAATGGATCTCGAAGGACACATGGAAGCTGACAGAGGAGGGAGAAGAGGATGGTGAAGCAGAAGATGAACCAGTGCAGTACAGTGCGGTGCAGAGCAGCGCAGGGAAGGGCAGAGCAGGGTGAACAACGAAAAGAGGAACTAAACATAACCTATAAAACACTACACTTAACAAAGAAGTGAAGAAGAGTGCGCACAATGACAAAAGACACTTCGTTGACACACTGGCAACTGAAACACATCAGGCTGCAGGTGGTAAGAGAGATCTGATAACATCATATCAAATAACCAGGTTACTATCTGGAAGTGGGAGAGATCAACACAGCACAGATGAAACCAATGAAAGATAGTGAAGGAAACTTCGTTACCAAAGAGGAGGAACAAAGAAAACAATGGGTTGACCACTTCATAAACTCTTGAATCGACCACCACCACCACAAACACCACAAACACCTGCAACTCGTCCAGAAATACCACCAGCAACCGCAGAATTACTAGTGAACACAAGTCCTCCGACGAAAACAGAAGTGAAGTAAGTCCTAAACGCCATAAAGTTGCTGAAATCTAGCAAAGCAGCAGGACCAGATGGAATTCCGTCGGAAGCACTGAAAACAGATGCAGAGACAACAGCAGCAGCAGACATGCTCACACCACTATTGCAGAAGGTTCGGAAGGAAGGAAAGAAGGAAAGGTACCTACCGATTGATGGGAAGAAAGGCTACCTTGTCGAACTTCCAAACAAGGGAGACCTATGTCTTTGCAAGAACTGGCACGAAATCATGCTCCGGTCCACACCCACCAAAACAAAATATCAACCCGCATCATCCTTGAGAGACTAAAAGGTTCACTAGATTCACAACTACGACCGAAACAGGCTGCCTGGTTTCAGGAGGAACAATCATATGCAGATCGAATTGCAACACTACGCTACGCATCATCCATAGAACAGACAGAGCATAGAATGCCAGTCAACTCAACAAAACCTCAACTTCATCAACTTTGAAAAGGACTTCGACAGAGTCGACTGAGGAGTAATTTGACAGGCAGCTGCTTCAACACTACCGTTTTAGTTAGTGCCATAAACCTTTATCAACCTCATTCAACACCAGATATATGCTATGCTATGTAATGCTACATGCCAAGTGATTCACAATGGAAAGAAAGTTCAGTGATGCCTTTGAAGTGAAGACAGGGGACAGGAGTAAGACAAGACTGCCACCTACTATCACCGATCATCTTCATGATTGTGGTCGACTCGACTCGACTCGACTGGATCATGCAACAAACTATGCGGAGTGAGAAGATGGGTATACCCAGGCTGCATTGATGAAAATACCCAAGAAGTTTTGGATTTCGCCGCCGATAACAATGATTTATGTCTTGTATCTTGAGGCAAAAACTCGAAGATCTACAGGCGAAAACTAACAAGTTGACAGGAGAGGCAGGGCAGCGAAGACGGGACATCATTCAAGTTAACGTAGAGAAGACGACAGAGGTGATGAAGATACCCAACCAACAATAACAACAAACACCAACCACCATCAACGGGAGAAATCTGAAGGAAGTTGTCTCCTTCACCTACCTACCTAGGCAAAGCACCTTTGTCTCAACTACAGGTGGCGGTGGCACAGATGAGGACGTAGAAGCAACCGGGATCGGAAAAACAGCAAGACAGGCCTTCATTAACCTGAAATCAATGTGGAGATCTACTCCAATCAACCCAGCATAAAGCGTGAACAAGATCCAGATTTTCAACACCAACGTCAAGTCAGTGTTTCCATGTGATGGTTCACGAAAGGCACTTCCAACAAACTACACACATACATCAACAACTACCGCCTACCATCACTAAATATTGACACTGAAGATCAGATGGCCAGAATATGAAGAATAAGCAACAAGAAAGTCTGGCTGGCTGGCTGGCTGGCAACAAACCAACCAAGCACCCATCGCCCAACAAATATGCAGATGGATTGGATTGGACATACACTGAAATGACCATTTGGGGACATTAGGCACCAGGCCAGGCCCTCGAGTGGAATCCAAAGGAGGAACAACGAGTTGGGTGTCCCAGTTGAGGGTGACATGGACGAGATGGTATGAGGAAGAAATGGAAGCTCGCGAGCAGTTGTGGAGCCAGGTTGAAAAGACTGCAGAGAAGAGAGTGAAATGGTGATGTGCTACTGAAGCCCTATGTTCTGCAAGGAACCCAAGGACAAATAATAATAGTGGTAATGATCTGAGAGAATGTGGTAGCTAATCGAGTTCTGAAGGCAGCAGACGCGTAATGAAATCTTATTTTTTCGTGAGGTACATGAGAAAGAAGTTTAGTGGATGACTGCCAGTTGCAGATGACATCTGCTTGAGGCTGGTCACATACGACTTTTTAGTGTCTTGATATATTATCTCATTGTTTGCCAATCCAAAATTGAAATCCTACAGACGGCACCCGTAAAACCACGGGGTGAAAGTCTACCATTTCTGAGAACAACCTTTTCTAACCATCACTTCGCGTAGGAAAACCAGCAACAGTGTGCCAAGGCTGGTCACCAGAGGTTAACCCCTAATCGTTGTCATATAGTATTCCAGCCAGCAGTACAATCTTACGGATGGACATCCCTGTCATAGCGTAGCAGTTTATACTACAACGGTAACTGCTTTTTGTGCTAACACTATCCGACAAACCTTTGTAAAATAGTAGTACTTCGAAGGAACAAGCAATCCGTCAGCAAACTTCGGTGGGTCATTGTGATATGCAAGCCCGAACACCACGACAAGGCGGTAGTAGGTGTATACAAAGCCTTATGCTAAAGAACAAAAACGGAACTATCAGATTGGATCCCAGTTACCTCCGAAGATTTGCAGCCTCATCTACTACAAGCAAGTTGCACTTATTGTGCGAAAATTACAGCTAATTCGTAGCTGCTTCCATACTCATGACTTTATAAGCGTTGGCACATGTCATTCATCGACTGACAGAATCAACGTAGAACTTCGCACACAATTGCACAGGATCAAGTAGTCACATTTCACAGTAGTACACAAAGAACAGGTGTATAGAAAAAGAGTGATTTCACAGTAGATAAGTTGGTATGAGAGGATAACTAGTCGGAAGATAAAAATTGGTTCAAATATTCACCCTTTAAATGTCAACCAGTGAGCACATCAGCGCCACTGTGACCGATTTTCAGCTATGTCACCAACAGTCACTGACCACTGATTCCTAACGTTTCAGAGACCACAATAAAGCATCCTACATCACCCCCCATAATTCAAACCAATAGTATTAGACGTTCAGATGAGTGCTCAGTTATCTTCTGCCTGAATACGTATTTGACTTTCTTACTTTCCACTTGAGTAAAACAGGCTTCCGTGTCATCTGTTTCCTACGAATAGAAAGGCATATGCATACATGTGCCAGGACGAACGCGAGATCCGAGTTCAAACACATACTACAGAGAGAAAAGAAATCCTCCAACGATGGCTTATAGCAACGTGATCAATTTGCGTCAGTCGGTGGTTGGACATAGGCGAATGATCAAAGACAGTGTCTCTCTTGATGCTAACCAGAAACAAGTGACCATCAAAATAAAAACGAAACAAATTATCACCATCGTCGGTTCATTGGCAAAGAACTTCGGAAGTAACCCCAAGACACCTTTTCGAATTGATCAATTTCCCTATGTGACATTAGGACTACATCTGAACGTTAGGCATTGTGGAGAAAAATTGACAGCTTTTCATAGAATTCATCCTTTGCATCATACAAACGAGGCGGAGATTACGAATAGGCATCGCCCAGTCTCACGATCCTTCCTAATCCTTACACATTCATTCAGTCGAACAGCACATAGACTGCTGTTGACCAATATTCAATCGAGAAGCGCACTTTCTACTCTACATCTCAATGATATGCCACTGGATCTCCGGATACTCGTAAGGTAAATTTTGAGGATTCACTACTATGGCCAGGTGAGGTCAATCTAATAACCACACCCCGGTCCTGTATACGTGTCTCAGAGACACAGCATACAGCAATGGATCGAGATTCCCGAGTTCTGGCAAGCAGTGCTTGCTGTCCAATTAGGCATAGAGTTCAGATGTTGAAAGCTCCCACGTGAAATCTATGGCGGATTCTAAGGAGACTAGAAATGAGGTTTCGATGGCATGGATTGGTTGCAATGGCCGCACAGACAGGTTGGGCAAGGTGCAAGAGGCTTAATATTAATATCAGTGGGTGAAGGCAAAGGAGAAGATAGATTTGGGGTGGATAGGTTATGTTTAAATGGTCTTGTGTACTACAGGAAGCTTGTGGACGGTTGACGTTACCTGCTGTTGGCCCATACGATAGAAGGCAATGTATTCTTAAGCCACTTCAAAAAAAGATGTGTGAACCCAGAGCACATGGGACAGCTGCTTGAGGCCTGTCACATACAGCCTTTTCAGGATTGTTGGTTCGAACTGCTGTGCTGGGAGATCAGGGAGCAGGGAAAAGTGTGCTGTTTTGGGAGTTAACCCTTTCTAATTCGTCTTTCTCATAAAAAGGGCACTGTTAGTCGTCCAAGGGAAACACCTTACTGGTGTCACATCCCATCCAGCCTTCCGACTTCGCCCTTCGACCCCTATCAGTAACCACTTTTTGTTTTACCACTACCCACTTTGACATAGACGACCTCGGAAGAACAAGGGTTCCAGCCAGTGCGGCTCGTTAGGTCATTATGAATGCAAGCCCTATCATCATGTCACTGCAGAAGCTATCGGCGGGGAACCGCGCCGTCGAACTAAATACAGGGAATTTCATAAGCATAACAAGAGGAAGACAGGAGGAGAAAAGAAAAGGAAAATTGAAGGACTGAGAGCAGAAATAAAAATAAGCTTTTACCTTAGCACTGCATAGTCCCCGCTTGTAGGCAGATAACTTAGTACGAATTGATGATTTATGTGTACCTGGGATATAACGTCCAATATTTGCTGGTTCACCTTCCAATTCATTTTCTAACTGTGATAAATACTTTTTCATGGAAAATGATGTCTTCCCTTTGGATGAAATTTTCCTGGCATCGAAATCCTCATTATCTGATGAACTAGATGTGCAGACTTGTTCCTTTGTTGCAGGGATTATTTTTTGAGGGGGAAATGATGACTTCTGAAGAAAAAATTTGAATGATAATTCAATCACTTAAAAGACAAAATATATGTATTTCTACAGTGGAAGTTACTAGTACCAAGCAATCATTAGTAGAAAAGGGTTATACTCCATGACTGATGGTAATCTATAAACAACTGCACTTTATGCGCAGCACATGTTCGAATTTACTCCGACATTACAGTAAATCTCAAAAAGTGATACGAAACATATGGCTACGTGTAAATTAAAATAACCTGTTCTCTACGTAAGTTAAATCCTTTAGAAAATGGTGCATAAAGAGAAAGGTAGATAAAAGCACTAAACAACTTTGGAAATCAAACTAAAGACTAATATACAATAACACAGAAGTTGGGCAAGAAATTACTACTCTCAGTTACAACAACTCAAAGCAAAATGAAGACTGGAAATCTGCAAAGAGAATAAAAGTGAAGGAAAAATAGTATGTTCAAAAACTAGATAAAGCTAATGTATTTACAACCTGTAACAATGTAATCAACCTTCAGTCATTTCACCAATTGACTTGAAAACGTCAGTCTTAAATATTTCTTGAACTTTAGTCAAGATGATTGAGACTACCCACAAGTATTTTTGTTTAAACTTTATCACCTGAGCACTGAAATCGGTCACTACAACAACCATATCTTACCTTCTGGCTTTTAGCAGGAGGCTAGACAGTTTTCGAGGGGTTTTATTTTTCACTTCATTAGAAATGCACCTAGCGTGTGAGTCAGTAATAACACCTTTAACGGGTAAATTGATAACTGGATTGAACGACTAGTCAAAAAATGGACCAATCAAAAATTTACTTTGTGCTAATTATGACTACAGAAAGACTAACAAATAACTAATTAATATTACTTTTTTAAACGCCAACATATTTTAATACATTCTTGTTTTGATGATATTCTTCCCGGTCTTCTGTTTGTATACATGTTTCACTCGTCTCAGAGTGTCTTCTCCATTAAATGGCCGGGTGGAGAAATCAAATAGGAAGTCACAGAACGTTGGTGGCTGACAGTCGATATTCATGCATCAGTTAGCAGCTAGAAGAGTTGGTGTGCTCCAAGACAATTTACCAACAATACAAATATTTACATCGTGAAGTAAAAAATATTGTTAGTAAAAGCGCATGATGAGTTTTACCTTGAAATCAGATTTCCTCGCAAACAAAACAGGAGCACAAAGAATAATTCAATGTATATGCAGTTTTCGTCATGAGTTGACATCACCCAAAAAACCAGTGAAAACCAAGGAGCACTAAACAGTTATTTTGGCTACCACCTAATTTGGTCGACAATGTGTGGCAACCCTTCAGTCCAAAACTCGTGGAAACTCATCTTAGTCAACCGACAGTGAGCATTGAATTGTAACCTCAACCTGCCTTAAAAATCACCCTACTGAATGAGTAACGATTCCATATACTAATATTTATCAGTGCCAAAACTCACATTTTTAGTTTCATTCCATTGATGCTTCTTTGAACTCTTTGGAATCCTATTGCTATCGAAAGAACTAGAAGATACATAATCTTCAAAAAGGCTGGACATTCAGAACGGACACCGTATAGGTCAATCAACTCATCGTCATCGCTTGTAAGAATATCACACACGTTTTGCTTTGATGCATCGAATAAGGACAATTCACGACCATTATTTTGCTTTTCATTCAGTATCTTCGGCGTTTTTATCAATCCTTTCAGTTTGGAATCCTTTGGTAGGATTTTATCTGGATAAGATAATGTGGAGTGAAATACAAAGTGTAAATAAGAAAATGAGCGAATTGTATATAGTATTTATGAATCAAACAGGTAATAGAAAATCACTCACAAGAATGGAATTTGTTACCTAAACTTAGTATATGTACAGTGTTGGATGGAATAAAACTGAGTAGCCACATACATCTGCGCATATCACAACTCGAAGTATACCTAGTAAGCAGAAACTGATAGTATTACTAAGGTGCCCAAGGTTAAATTAAATGAGATGGATCTGAATACATCCATCAATAGTTAAGAGTTGAATGTATCAACAAATAAGATGTAAGTGAATAAACGTAGAACGCCCAATTAATCTCCTCTAGGATTAATGCTAATCCGGTATGTACCATGAACCAGGGGTTTGATCATAAAGTATTTGATTTAATTGACTTGCTTATCGCTTAAAGATATGAGCAACTCTGGTCTTTTTCCAATTTATATATTACATCAAACTGTTTAGTTTCAACCAGCCTTCTACAAGATTAGATATTTGTAATCTGTTAGGGGTTCTGGTGAATTGCTACGCAATTCTTAAGTCAGTCTGTTTCAAGAAATACTTTGCCGAATAATATTGAGAGTTATTACAAGGAATACAAGGTTAAATTTCTAAGACTGAAAAGAGACTGATAGTGACAGTCTTCATATTATTATTATTATTATTATTATTATTATTATTATTATTATTATTATTATTATTATTCCTTTAGAAGTAACAGTGGTAATGACGGAGTTACTGTGTTTCACTTCCTTCAACTAGCTGTTTCGCCTTCGTCAACACATATGTGACTGGTCTAAGCCCATTTTCACAAATATAAGTCTGAACAATCGTTAACCATCAACTCCTACAGTAAAGACCAATGCTTCAATAGTTCACAAACTAAACTACAGTCATGAGGTAAGTTTAAACAACGTTCCACATCCTAGAAACGGGGCTCCTAAGTAGGCTAGTACATTTTACATATCAAATAAGCGTTTTTAGTCAACATACGTGAGTGAGTGCATCATTATCAAACTAACAAAACGAAACTGACCATTAGCTTCAAGCAGTGACTTCATGATGTCTCCCATATTCATTGACCCATAAGTTTCATCACCAACAGTAGATTGAAAATTTTCAGAATAACCAGCTTCAATATCATCTCCAGTAACATCTACGTCAGAAATATCTTCACTGCTTGAATTACCAGAAGTTTTATTCACATAAACCTTTGAATCAGGTTTCGCTTGGTTCCAGCACTGAAAATAGAAGTACGGTAATCACGACTAGTAACAGCAAGAAAAACCTCGCGAAAAGTTAGAAGCTAGAGTTAATTCCTAGGTTCTCACTTGCTAAGAAATCGAAAATTCGGAGCACAAAAAGTAGTCTACCAGTCTTCTGATAGTGGCAATAGAAAATCATTCAAAAGTTGACAGCCCAACGTCCTATATTACAAAAATATCCACCGTCAGAGGATGAATAACTATATCTTTATGCCTCTACATTAGTCCATGATCCTAAAAACATATGGTGTGACCACGAAGAATTCACGCCCAAAGCTAACAGAGAAAAAAAAGGCTTTCACAAAGTTGTCAGTGTGTGTGATTAACCAGTTCAGTACCAGTTCGCATAAAAACTGGTCAGATAACTATAACTATAATTATTTAACTTCATTGACATTGGGATCAGATAATTTATTCAAACCTGCATTCAATATATTGGTCAAAGTATTAACACAGAGAATAACAAACACCGAAGATTTCAATTAGCAAACAAAAAACACCAAATGAATATCTTTTAAAGGGCGTTAGAGAAACTACCTGGGTGCACAAAACTCGACAGATGAAGGGCGAACCTGTAGCCTGCTAGTTTGAAGTCAACTAACTAACCCTATAGACTATAACTCAATATCTGAAGCAATAGCAGATAGTGATCTTGTCTCTACTAGTTACTGAAAGTGAGAATGGATGAAAGACATTCCACATATGTTGACCACTTGATAATTTTGATCGAGGCAAAAACAATAAAGGTTTGCACAAAAAGTGATTGCAATTTTATGCCGCAGCTTTTAACCAGCAGTAAAATCCTAAATCTACAAGTATCAAGAGTAATAAATAGATTAACGGTATACTTCTGAATATAAAACGACTCTGAGATGCAGCACAACAAAAAAAGTAGGAATCAGGAGAATAAATATAAAGATGAATTTCAAATCTTCTTAAACGACACCATCATTTCACACTGGAACAATATTAGACAACAAGTGTCTCTAGTCAACACTGTAATCTTGAGTCATTGATGTAGCCTGTGTTTCTGTGACACCCATATACACCCATACGGGAACGAGGTGTGGTTATTTACTTGACTTCATCAGACCAGCGTAGTGAGTCTTCGAAATTCACCATGCGAGACGTCAGAGATTCACCGACCAGCTGGTGCAGTTATAGCATTAAATTCTAGAACAGAAAGTCCAACTCAAAAGGACAAAAATAACGAGCTGCAAAGCATCTGTGTGTTTGGCTAGGAGAACAGAACATCAAAAGCGTATTTAAGAAGGAAATAGTCCACCATCTATCTGAACATGATAACAATCGTCGTTCTGATGAATCCTGGTGCGATATTCAATCCTCTGTAGAACCAGTGGTAAAAACAGTTGGCGCAAACCAAATTCAAAACTTAGCAAAAGCCAGTAGACTTCTGCAACGTCACCTGAGCTGATTGACGCAATATTCCCCACGATGAGGAGCAAAAGTAGCTCAAAGGTAAATTCGCTAAGAGTTTTCGTAATGACTGCACAGAGTTGTAGGTGGCGAAGCATTAGGTAATACCTGGTAATTATTTAGGCTTAAATAAGGATATTAGCAACGAGACGATGGTCAGTTAAATTAGGACCAAAAGGGTGGGGTTCTAAAACTACGCTTCAGCTGTCCAAAATTAAAACCGAATCAAAATAAAGTGTAGTCATTAGTCCCACGGCCCTCCAACAGGTTGACAGGGTTATTTTACCTGACACAACTTAAGCTCAAGAAAACCAAGGAGGATCAAAACCTGGAGGACAACACATCTATTTATGGGTCTAAGAGAATACAGCTGTGTTTAACACCGCCAGATACCTTACACAACTCCAGATTAAGTGGAATATGACCCCATCAAAATGTATTATGGTGCTTGAATATTGTGAAGATACCGTGCAACTGCATCGCGCTAATCAAGACTCCATACTCAAACTCATGCAACAGCCTAGTGGCTTATGGAGTCTGCCAACGACATAAATTCCCCACTCCTACTTAACGTCGTTAAAATGTGCCAACATATAGACCACTACGTTGATGTTCCTCACTAAATTAGGCATTCGACTTCTAGACAACGAGTATCTGGTTTAAATCTTACTCCTACTACTGTAGCCTATACTACCGACTAGTAACAAACCTTTAAAGTCTAATACATAACGTGTATAGGATTGAGTTCCATCCTATGTGCCTCCGACTCCTCAAAAATTGAGTCACGACACCGAGGGTAACTCGCTGATTTGAAGAAAACATAGAAGCGTTGCGCAGAGATGTAAATAAGTCCCTTTGAATGCCTTGAGAAGAAATTTGATTATGTCTAGCACGCATTTCGCATCTGTCAAGTGTGAGATGATGGTTCAGGAGTGGTCTACACCGACTCCCAGATTAGGAATAAGGAGCGAAGTGATTTAATGCGTTGACCACCCCATTTACTCATAGAGTCGCATCAACCCTCATAGACAGGTTGCTGATGAAGTCTCAACCTAGATACGAAAGGCATTTGTTAACTTTCATCATCATTGATGAATGCAAGAAACCTAACTACAAATCAAAGGACGACTATACCATACAATAGTCTACTCTGACCTATCATATGGCTATGAAATATGGCCGCCAAAATACGACATAAAGAGGTCACAAGTTTTTGACTACAGGTGTCTCCATAGCACTTTTCGCAAGTGATGGAATCACTAGATGAATAATGCTGACGATATGTATAGACTTCTAGATATGACTTTACAACTTCGTCGACTACGGTGAATTGATGAGCATGTGTTGCACATACCAAGCCACAGCCTACTTCTATGTGCTATATTATTAGTTGAAGTAGTATTGGGTAGGATTAGATTAGGAAGAACCAAAACGTCGCTAGACTAAGACGTATCACCAACAAACGAAGTTTGTGACTGTTGGTATGAGTTGTGTGGGGAGAGATGTACGCTACTTGGCTGTGGTTCTCTAGAGAACAGAAAGCAATGGTTGGTGATATGGCTCTCAATCATTCACAACAATGCAGAGGAATAAACTCCCTGTCGTTTCCCAAATTTCGGACATTTCAAAGAACTATCACTGATTTATTCCTGATTCGCTCAAACACTTTTGTGTTCTACAATACCAACATTTTCCCACGCTGCTCTGAAGTGTAGTAACTTGAAGAGATGCACTTCGATGCTAGGTTCCACGTAGATATTTATGTCAAGTTGTTAGCGGCTGATAAGAAAATAAAAGATTTTAGTTAATCTTGATTTTAATGTTTACGCTCTGAACTAGTTTGTCTATTCGAAAACGAAAACAAGTGCCCTAGCAAAGATACTCTTCCGACGATTTCATTCACGAAGCTTTAAAACAGCATTTCCACATACAGTTATCAAGAAAATCGAAAATTCGTAAGAGACAACATGAAATTATATCTGTAACCAGTTTTAGCAAGGAATTAGCTTGATTATTCTCATAGCGAAAGTACAAACAGCTTCTAGTAGACAAAAACTAGTAAAAGACATTGGATTTCACTAACGAAAGGTGAATCACTTATCCATTACCGTAACATGAGGAAAATGAAAAGACCCAGGGGACTTCATTTATTTATCATCAGGTCACAAATTGAATGGCACCCAAAATTTGTCCTACAAATATTTTCAGAATTGAGTAAGCTATTGCAAACATCAAACAGCAAAGCAGCCCTGCCTTGAAAACATTTAGGCATGGTAGTAAGAAATAATTGGCAAAACTGAGCTAGCGGCTGGGGAATGGGGATCAGAGATAACCCCATACAACAGTTGTGGTCATTGACTTTTCTAATTTCTAAGAATAGATTTCCCTTCGTGACAATCACGGAGGAGTTTGTGTCTGACATATTCTCCGAAATCCTACTGTTCAATGTCATTGTGCCCCAAACTAGAGTTTAAAAAGTAGACTGACAAATAATTTAAGAAGACGTTATACTCAACATTAACAATTAGAATTAAACTAACCAATATTTGCTTGGTTCAATGCCCTTGAAGGAAGACGAAGAATTCATAAAGTCTTTCAGAAGAGATGAAATTGAATTACAAGGTAAATCGGGTTCAATCATTTCGTCACGCTCTGACAACATTCTATCTAATTCCCCTGCTGTGACGTACATCCAAGATTCATCTAAGTTAGATACAATAATTTAAAGGAAAACGGTATATCAAAAATATATTGAGCAATTAAATACAGAATATCAAACAGCTACGGTGATGCAACACCACCAATTTAGGGAGTAGAAATTCACACATTGCAGATACAGATTGATATTTTTTTTTGTAAAACAAGACAAAACTGAGTCACAAGAACTGCAATTCAGCTTTAGACTGAAATGTGAAGGAGCACCACCACATAGAAAATTACTACCTTGATCAAAAATTATCATAAAATGAAACTACTTCCTTTAATCCTGCCTTTGCGATATATTTATTTTAGGTAACAGTGGTAACAACTGACAATTACACGATTTGAAGTATTTTTCCTTCATGGTGATTTAGATCCAAAATCAGATTTCAGATGAACTTCAACAATACAACATATTTTGAGCGTAACTTAAGTAAATGAATGACTCCTCAAGTGTCAGAATATTCAAGAAGTGGTGTAAGGAGATAAAATCAACAAAAGAAATACTGAGAGAAATGGGGTTAAGTTTTTACTTTTCAACGCAAATGGTTACTAACGAAATGAACCATGAGTTTGTGAGTGTAAATCTTTACAACCGATAATCAACAAAGTTTATGAAGAAAAGACATCTTATGACATTAAAACTATCTAAAGAATTAAATCGCTTAGCATGATCTATTCAAGTTTACCATAAGCTCACTCAAATAAAAACAGGCGAAATGTTTCTCAAATATTTCAGTGACTTTGATTTCAGTGGTGGAACTTGATGGTCGGTTTCGAACTATCCAATTTTTTTATTCTAGTGTATTCAGTTTCAGGTAGTACTATCTCTGTAGGTAGTTTAACAAAAGAATTCCGCAAGAATCCCAATTGTTGATATCTTTTATCCTTCAAACTTACTTATTTACTCAATATTTGTCCTGCAACGTGTTACTGCCATTGACATTAACATCTTCAGCCCCATGTTATTCCTCTTGTTGATCCCTCCCTGCGGTGCTGAGGTGTACTGAAGAGAGTTGGGTCAATCCAGAATTATGTCAGATATATGATAACAACTTAGGTAACTCGATGTGATAATCAGTAAATACAAAGGCTGTACATGTTATTTGTTTGGTGGCGGCTAGCAGTGGAATTTAAGACACATATTTCACCCGATTTTACACTCGCAATTATTTCAGTGTTCATGTGCCTACTGGGACTTGAATCCAGTGAGCATGACTTCAAAGAACGTTATCCAATAAGCTAGTAGGTCGTAACAGTTAACTCTAATGCAACAGTTGCAGTTATCCGTTGATGATTTTGCTAGACTCAACTGATGCATCCCTGTTAGCATAGAACTTCATGGAACGAACGCCTCAGTAGTGTCTAAAATTGTACTTAGATGTTGTTATTTTGGTTGAGCGAGCAGCGGGATCCATATCTTATCCTGCTTGGAACTTATCAGTACTACGACGCCTTTGCGTTTAAAGCAATGGCTACTACATTTAAATAGGTACACTAGCACGTTGGGAAACATGCACACCGAGTTACTGCGTCCTGTACACTAGATCGCACTGGTGGTCACCACCGCTAAAATTATCAAAATAATATAAATAAAGCTGAACATCTATCCTATATGAAAAGCACAATTTATTTTGTTCAAAGCAAAGTAATCTACTACAAAAACATACCATCAGCAGGAGGTATTCCTTTTTCTTCTACAGTACGAACTTTCTCCACGATGGATGAACATGATTCATGATTCTCCATGTAATTCAAAATGGAGAATATAAGGTGACTATGTTCGTCAAGTAAGCTATCTGTCCGTATAGTGCATAAGGCATCATCGGAATCACTATAAACCCTATTGAATAAAACAAAACACTTTTTATGCAGGTAACCAATAAAAAGGAAGGATATTTATAAGTGAACTTCACAAATGAAAATGAGTAAGTCAATTGGAATAATCGAGATAGCACAGTCATAGTTTCGATTTTTGAAGATCTCGTAGACAGCAATTCAAAAAGGCCCTAGCTAAATCCCTTGAGTACCACTTCATATAAATAATACGGTTCTGGAAACTATCCTCAGAATTACTAAACTATATAGGTCAAGTGGCACGTGCTTCAAGTGTCAGACAAACATACCATAGAACCCCTTACACAAGTGCATCGGTTCAGGTTACCACACTTCGCAGTAGTATAAAAAGAACATGGAGAGAAAAGGAGTAATATCAAATTAGACAAAGTTGTGTGAGACAGTAAACAATCAGAAGACGAAGGTTAGTTATTCAATCTTTAGAAGATATCGAGTGAATATATCTGCGCCATTGTGACCGATTTTCAGCCATGTCATCAAGATTTTTTGACCACTGATCCCTATCATCTCGTGGACCCGTCAGGTGGTCTACATTCCCCCCCCCCCTCACACGCACACACACACACATGGCTCAGACCAATAGTAAGGGAGTTCATCGACAGGTGTCACGTCTTGGTCTGACCACCCTGACCCTCTTCCAACCTAATCCAACAATGATGTGATGTGATATAGAATTAAGAAATATAAAGGTGAAAAAGCCACACTGATAGGGAACAGGTAAACTGAAAGTAAAAATGACAAGAATTAAAAACTGACCAGCCTCGGAAATATATATATATATATATATATATATATATATATATATATATATATACGCACACAAAAAACAATATGCACATTTATCTTAGACAAACTGATGAGTCTTAATTCTTTTGACTTCTGGATAGCAAATTTAACTCTAGTAGAGTGTAGTTTTAATATGTAACACCTGGATAAAAGACCAAAATCCTTAGTTGCTTTGCAACATCATATACATTCACTGATCCATAAATATTTTATATCACTAAAAGATCTCGATGTTTGACGGTTAACTAATGAATGACAGGTGCCAATGCTTCTAAACCCGCCACGCTAAAAGCTAATACGAAGTAGCTTCAATCTTTGCACAATAAGTGTAACTTGCAAATCTTCGCTGAATTATACGGTATTGTGGTTAGCGAGAACAAACTAAGTACAGATATGGATTGCACTACTTTATCTTTGACATTTCGATAGAGAAATTAAATATAAGCAAAACGTAGTTACATGAGATTGTATAATCAACATACAAGTGAGCCGGTGGTTCACAAGACTTTTCTGAAAGACAGTCGAGAAAATGACATTCAGCTTTATGCTGAAGTTCTTTGTGCAGCCATGATCCTTCTAAAACATCCTAGAAAATTTAAGTAATACAGTATTAAATCTTTAAAACATAATTAAGAAGTGCAAATGTACCAACAAAATAATCGAAACACATTTCTTACGTAATGGACAATAAATGGCTAATTAATACAATGCCTGAAGCATTTTCGTTAAGCAAGATTCTCGCAATTTTGTGCACTACGCAACGAACTATACTTCTTTAATGAGGATTAGTTATACTATCTAGATCTCGCTATACGGAATCGGGTTCGAAATCGCAACCTACTGGCTCAAAGTCGACCACATAATTCAATGAGCCACAACTGCAGAAAACCCAAAGTTTGTCTCATTTATGTCACATAAAAGGTACAGTCCAACCAATATCGACGTTAAAACACTTCAGTAATGTTGGACAGTATTGCTATTTCCCAAAACATATCTAGAAGTACTACACGATGATGAATATTATATCGACAAGCAATTTACTCTTTTATTAACTGATTACCAGAACTGATTTAACGACTTCTTCTACTGCTTTTAACTGAATCTAATCTGAATCGGGAGAAATAGGCATGAACAGTTTGGCTAAACAGCGCGATTACAAATTTATACAAGCCAACTAGATATTATTCCAGCTGGCTCAATTGACGCTCATAAAATTACACGACCGGGGTAGAAAATCATAACTTGATACTATTTACATTTCTAATGTGAGTGAGGGTTTATCAAATGGAGTAAAGTCATTATTTAGAACAGTTGATAACTAATTTATTTCAAGCTTACAAAACTTAAAGTCGATGCAGTTGGTAGTGCAGCAACAGCTAACATGTGGCAATCCTAAAGTTCAATGATTTAGGTATTCGCTTCTTAATCACCAGAACAGATAAGTGGCACTACTGGCACAATGGTTCTTAGTTAGGTTTAAAAAACACGTCAGTAGATACTGTGTGTACTGAATGTTATTATGCACAACCAGTGAATTCAAAAGATAGAAAATAAGGATGATAAAATTACTCCTAGATGAGTTATATCTATCAAGTCATTTCTCAAATCAAATAACTGGTCATTTCAAGTTGTTATTCATCGTAGACTGACATCAGCTGGAGGAACAAAGTAAACCTGGGAGCACTGGACAGCTGTTTCATCCTAGTATGGGGCTCCTCAGCAGTGCGCACCCACGACCCCACCAGCAGGGATCGAACCCGCGACCTTCAAGTTCCACGGCCAGCGCGTTACCATTGAGCCACTGGGTCAGAATCCAATGCTCCATATTTCCAACTTCTGTTAGCTCACGATATATAGCGCAACCGCCACCCAATGTCATCGCTGAGTATCTGTCCTCATGGCCATCAGGCTTTGACTCCACCGGTCACGACTTGTCATTGGAACTTCCTTTGTTCCTCCAACTGATGTCAGTCTACGATGAATAACAACTTGAAATAATTCCAAATCTCCACAACTCCCTCAAAATAACTGATCATAAGTGAGGATTCCTAACTAAGCTTTTAGGAATGTTACGTAGATAATTAAGAGGTTAACAACATATAACACAAAACAGCAATCATAGGCTAAAGCAATTTGTCATATTACCTGAAAGTAACCACTATTGGTCAGTCTCTCCATAAATTTATGCCATCCTCCCTCAGCTTCACCAGAAACCATAAAATATGGTGAGAAGTTCGAATTTTTTGTATGTGAACGGACATGGTTCAGCAAAAGATCAAGCCCAACACACTACAATAAAAATGAAAGTCACTGCAGCCATTTAAAGCAAATATTCTGTTCATTTGCAAGCATCAAGTTACTGATACAACCTCAGATTTTGACAGTTCATTTCAAACAGTATACTGTTAATACTATGAAAGGCGATGACATGATGACAGAAATACGTTTTATAACTTTATAAACATTCTGATTACACATGCTGTGTGACCCACTAAAACACGATACAGAAGACCGTTGCAAAATATACAACAACAAATACGAAAAAAACTCGCAAAAACCACATGGATGTTCATGATACTACCTGCGTGCATAAGCCTCCGCAGTCGGGGTATGGTTCGAAGTCGTGACCCAGTGGTTGAAAGTTAATTGCCTAAACAACTGAGCTACAGATCCACAGGAGTCTACATTTATGTATACTAATTCTATAAAGATAATAGATCTATATGCCAAGATAGATGGAGATATTTGATACACAACAGAACCTTACTCAGTAGCTGTTTATTTCATCAAGATATCGGCTTTTAATAACCCATCACTTCTGTGTAGGCATTAGTAGCATAATAAACATGTTTGCTATTATCTTCATTTTCAGGTGAAACATATACCGAGTGTAAGATATCAGTTTTCCGAATCTCGATGAAGAATGATAAATTCTCATCCTTCCCTGAAATTTGGTCAGATTTTCCAAGTTTTCTGTTTCCAATCCCTCTTAGTTAAGCGTTGAACGGCAATAAATCCTCGAGATTTACAGACTATCTTTTGTTATTTTCATAAAATGGTGATCTGTAGCGCTATAATTAGATCATCTAATACCGTAAACAAGTCAGTACCTCAGTTAATTTGTTTGGTAATTCATCACCCTTATTCTTAAATACTTCCAGACGCACGTTTTTAGACGCCGCTGCTTTCCCACGTTCCATTTTTATGACATACTTGTTAACAGTTGAAGATGGTGTCACTAATTGACCCAGCTTAAAACTGGATGGCAAGATCCTGTAGATTCCTATTTTTCTGAGAGAAAACAGTACACTCCATACAGAGGAAAGGGCTCAACTTCGCTACTTAGTGAAACCACTGTGCCTCAACCATACCTTATTTAGCTTGTGTATTGTGTGAAGAAAATCATGTTAGACACGGTTTGATCATTTAACTTTGTAAGAGCGAACGGTAATCATGTCCCTGAAGTCGTCAAACATTTCAACAGTCATGTTATTTTTTACCATGTATTGTTAAACAGTACCATTTTTAATATGTATTTGAAAAGTGTTATAGAATGGGTAGACTGGTGCAATATCACATCCCGAATGTTCTGTACTGTGAACATAATTATGGTTTGGAATAAAACAAATTATTATCTGTTGAAGAATTTCTTATTGTCATTTTTACGGAAGACGGAATACAAAACCACATTAAATCAAGACCAGAACTATCAAAATCCAATAAATATCTAGAAAATATCCCTTTGTATACGTACTTTCAGTTAGGAAACCGAACAGGCAGAAATTTTCCAGACATATCTATTGAATTCTAGTTAGTTACATCACACGACAAGTGCATACCCTTGACCGAGCACAGCATAGCATTACTAAACTCTAAAGATCGCAAAAGTCACCCACCCCATTTTTAATCATCTACATAATGGATAAAAATTTCAAATTTTGACGTCCAAAGTATGACATCATCTGCAGTACGAGATCTTGTTCATACTTGTAAACTTAGGGTGGACACAGCGAGTACCTAGATATCGTTCCGTTAAAAAGTCTCATCACTAGAAACGCATGTTAAATGCTGCTATTAGTTCTTGGTTGACATCAGTGACCATCTAGTCATTCTTCAAAACTAGTGGGATCTGTAATAAATTTTATAAGTTTTCAATGGTAAACCATCAAAAGGGTGAATAATTTTATTGTACCCAATGATATGTCTGAAATACATAAATCAGGAAGTATTTCATTGGGGCTGCGGGAAAAAGTTGACTAACTGATACAGAATCTCACTAAAAGAGAAAAATTGACATCTATTTATCCAGATTGTACAGCTTACGTTGTATCGTACAAAAAAGCACAAAGTGAAATTGAGTCACTATTGAATATCAGTTTAAGATGAACAAAGCTGCTCACATTCACCAGACATTACCGCGAAAGGACGGTTAGATATTTTCCATAGATAACTCAGAATATGTTTGTAAATGGTTAACAAAAATCAGTAGAATAAGTAGCATGATAAAAGTCCTCGATTGAGTGTGCATTATACAATAACGTTAGTAATTCAAAAACCAAAAATAATGATGGTTAAGGATATGTAACAAGTATGGACTTTAATACGTATGAGCCATTACTTAAACATCTCTTATACTTAACCGCAATTTGATGTCCATTTTACGCGACAAAACAAGTTAGAGCAATTTGAATTCAACTCACTATTAACATCTAGTGCTTCTAACAAATAGCTCTTCAGAATGAATGAATGATCAGTTCAACGATACACGTAAAACAAATGAATACTAAATATTGCTTGCACTAACGAATAGTGCTTGGGACACCATCTGAAATAATACGTAAACTATTTTTGAACTAGTCAGCAGGGGATACACATGAGTTTTTAGATTTTACTGACATGAATCTTCTCTCCATAGAAAGCTATCATTATTCTTATCATTGCATTCTGAGTGACAAGTGCTATGAGCATCAACCCAACACTCATAAATGACTACGAATGAGTCACGTGAGAGGAATGTAAAATAGTGTTTTTAATTCGTTAGGATATAATAAAAACTAACCAATTTTAATCCAAGTTCTGCAGCTAAGCGACCAGAAGCGGTACTGTTACTTTGAAACTGCACTAGTCCTGCTGGTGTCCGCAATGAACGCAATTTCGCGTAACGAACTTTGTTGAACCAAATAGGGATTGTTAAATAAGATTTTGATAATTCCGATAATTTCGGCCACATAGGTTTACGACCACCACCTTTATTAATGCAGTGGTCTGCAAAAATAGTTAGGTTTTCGTTGAACAATTTCAACCATGACTTCAAACCAGAACAGTCAGAAATTTTGTCCGCAAGTATATCTATAGCCGAATTAACTATCTGCTTTGAACCAAAGGCTGTAAAAACAGCTGCAACTGTGTAAGGTACGGTAACATGAGCCAAATGTGCTGTTTTGATAGAACCAGGATACCTAAGGAAAGGGAAATCAGGCATGACCTTTTATAAGATAACTTCAAAGTATGACATACGGAATTCACACACCAGTTTTATCACATGAGCAACCAGAAGGTTTATTCCAATACGCAAAAAATATAAGACCGAAATTTGTCGAAGCGAAAATAACACTGAGGACCTGACACATTAAAACCAAGAATCTTAACTTCTGATAAACACATATATGCATTTCGAGAATTATGAGAACGCAGACTTCAAATGTATGCATTACTTTGCACCTTACTGAACGATGTCTTTTCTTTTGTCTCGCTCTCACTTCATATCTTTTCAACTTACTACTGTTTCCGATACAATGTCACCTATATTATCTTGATGGATTGTGGATTAATGACCGTTACTCGACTACCAAATACTGGGTAATTGTTAAGGTCGAAGTAGGTATAGAAAGATTTGAACCAGGGATCCATTGCTTGAAATGAGTTTCTAAGCCAATTACTTGCACCTTTACAAAACCCAGTGTATCTTCGTATGACACCCCATAGTCTAGTACGTATACCTGTACTAAATTGAGTTGCATAAGTCTTCTTCATTTGTTTACTCACTGTGAGCTACAGAAACAACCATATTGTATTGTTTTATGTTATTTCTCCCAGTTACTCTTTCAAGTGACCATTTCATCATGAGAAGTAAATACACAATTAAATGAAATGAAAGGTGTTTTACTTCACAAACTGCCAATACAAAGCATATCGCAATACTCTCATTCCCATTAGGATACTCAAAAAACACAATCTGCTAGTGTAACCGATGAACAAACAGCATAAACTAGTACGAAAAGAAAATCACAAATGATTTTTGATTAAATTCCCAAACATTAACAGAAATATTGAGCTGAAGAAGCTGTGGCATACACAGAAAAACGTTCAGAAAAATCTTGCTTTTGATATTCTAAATACGCTGGGATTATATTTAAACCTACCTCCGAAGTAGGTCGAAGCCCTGAATGCCACTATCTAGTGCAAGCAACCAACCTCCCGAATCAAGTTGAAAGCCTTCAAGGAAGTTGGTGATAGACGACCACAGTTCAAGTTGAACACGCAGAACAGAAACTGAACACACTGAACTGAAGGATGAAACTACTAAGGACATCTTCGCGTCAGTCAGCCATCAGGAAGAAATGGGAGACATTGAGCAACACATCCGAGGAAACCTGTGTGGAAGAAGACTGGAACTCATTGAAAGCTGTGTGGGAAGAAACCTGCATAACTGTATTAGGAAGGAAGGAGAAAGAAGATAAGGAATGGATCTCGAAGGACACATGGAAGCTGACAGAGGAGGGAGAAGAGGATGGTGAAGCAGAAGATGAACCAGTGCGGTGCAGAGCAGGGCAGGGATGAACAACGAAAAGAGGAACTAAACATAACCTATAAAACACTACACTTAACAAAGAAGTGAAGAAGAGTGCGCACAATGACAAAAGACACTTCGTTGACACACTGGCAACTGAAACACATCAGGCTGCAGGTGGTAAGAGAGATCTGATAACATCATATCAAATAACCAGGTTACTATCTGGAAGTGGGAGAGATCAACACAGCACAGATGAAACCAATGAAAGATAGTGAAGGAAACTTCGTTACCAAAGAGGAGGAACAAAGAAAACAATGGGTTGACCACTTCAAAAACTCTTGAATCGACCACCACCACTACAAACACCACAAACACCTGCAACTCGTCCAGAAATACCACCAGCAACCGCAGAATTACTAGTGAACACAAGTCCTCCGACGAAAACAGAAGTGAAGTAAGTCCTAAACGCCATAAAGTTGCTGAAATCTAGCAAAGCAGCAGGACCAGATGGAATTCCGTCGGAAGCACTGAAAACAGATGCAGAGACAACAGCAGCAGCAGACATGCTCACACCACTATTGCAGAAGGTCCGGAAGGAAGGAAAGAAGGAAAGGTACCTACCGATTGATGGGAAGAAAGGCTACCTTGTCGAACTTCCAAACAAGGGAGACCTATGTCTTTGCAAGAACTGGCACGAAATCATGCTCCGGTCCACACCCACCAAAACAAAATATCAACCCGCATCATCCTTGAGAGACTAAAAGGTTCACTAGATTCACAACTACGACCGAAACAGGCTGCCTGGCTGGCTGGCTGGCTGGCTGCCTGGTTTCAGGAGGAACAATCATATGCAGATCAAATTGCAACACTACGCTACGCATCATCCATAGAACAGACAGAGCATAGAATGCCAGTCAACTCAACAAAACCTCAACTTCATCAACTTTGAAAAGGACTTCGACAGAGTCGACTGAGGAGTAATTTGACAGGCAGCTGCTTCAACACTACCGTTTTAGTTAGTGCCATAAACCTTTATCAACCTCATTCAACACCAGATATATGCTATGCTATGTAATGCTACATGCCAAGTGATTCACAATGGAAAGAAAGTTCAGTGATGCCTTTGAAGTGAAGACAGGGGACAGGAGTAAGACAAGACTGCCACCTACTATCACCGATCATTTTCATGATTGTGGTCGACTCGACTGGATCATGCAACAAACTATGCGGAGTGAGAAGATGGGTATACCCAGGCTGCATTGATGAAAATACCCAAGAAGTTTTGGATTTCGCCGCCGATAACAATGATTCATGTCTTGTATCTTGAGGCACAAACTCGAAGATCTACAGGCGAAAACTAACAAGTTGACAGGAGAGGCAGGGCAGCGAAGACGGGACACCATTCAAGTGAACGTAGAGAAGACGACAGAGGTGATGGAGATACCCAACCAACAATAACAACAAACACCAACCACCATCAACGGGAGAAATCTGAAGGAAGTTGTCTCCTTCACCTACCTACCTAGGCAAAGCACCTTTGTCTCAACTACAGGTGGCGGTGGCACAGATGAGGACGTAGAAGCAACCGGGATCGGAAAAACAGCAAGACAGGCCTTCATTAACCTGAAATCAATGTGGAGATCTACTCCAATCAACCCAGCATAAAGCGTGAACAAGATCCAGATTTTCAACACCAACGTCAAGTCAGTGTTTCCATGTGATGGTTCACGAAAGGCACTTCCAACAAACTACACACATACATCAACAACTACCGCCTACCATCACTAAATATTGACACTGAAGATCAGATGGCCAGAATATGAAGAATAAGCAACAAGAAAGTCTGGCTGGCTGGCTGGCTGGCAACAAACCAACCAAGCACCCATCGCCCAACAAATATGCAGATGGATTGGATTGGACATACACTGAAAAGACCATTTGGGGACATTAGGCACCAGGCCAGGCCCTCGAGTGGAATCCAAAGGAGGAACAACGAGTTGGGTGTCCCAGCTGAGGGTGACATGGAGAAGATCGTGCGAGGAAGAAATGAAAGCTTGTGGGCTGCCGTGGAGCCAGGTTGAAAAGATTGCAGAGAGGAGGGTGAAATGGTGATGTGCTACTGAAGTCCTATGTTCCACTGGGAACCCAAGGAACAAATAATAACAAAATAATCTTAAAACCAGGGCAAACCTGAATATTTTTCGCTGAATAGCAGACTGGATTGAACTTGATACAATAAAATCGGTGCTGTCAGAATTCTTGAAAGAACTCAAAGCATCACTTATTTGCAATCTCATTTTTCGGTCTTTACAGATGACACTCACTTCTCCACGATACAACCATACCTAATTTTCTGCATTAAAAACAAGTAGTGCCATCTTACTCGATTGTCAGCGTTTTCAGGATTTATCCAGCTCGGTAAGTGGTTCGCACACTCGATTAGGAGAAATTCACCATCTTCATCAACAACACTACATTTCTTTACATAATTGATAAGAAACTAACCGAATAACAACACCTGGATCTAGTTTGCTAATTTCCAAAAGCATCCACACAATAAACCATTCATCTTCAACACATTCTCCACAATCGACACAACCAAATAATGAAATTGGGCCTTCAGCTAAAAAATAAATTACTGGTAAAATGAACTCACAAGACTGAATCCATAACTTGAAGGGATCTTTAAACCATTGGTAATGGATGCACCACAAACTTAGAAATTCCATATACCAGTTTCTTTTGTCCCTTGCAACATTTTGATTAACAACATCAAGGAAATGTAGTCTGTAACTTAGGCAGGGTCGCATTTTAATGTTTTCTAGGTCCTTAACTATATTAGATGTGTGACAGATAAGAGTAATACAAGTGTCAGTAAATTAAATTGGTCAAAAGCATAGTGAAAAATAACTAGTCGAATCCTGGTCTAAATGCATATCACTGTTTTTTAAACTAAATGTGATAAATACGTGGTTGTAGTAACCGATGTTGAACAAATTATCAGCCAAGCTCATCAACAGACAGGTAGACTACATTCAGAACCCTGTACAGAAGTGCATCTACTGAAATTGGCACATTTCACAATAGCACGCAAGAAACAAGCGGGTAAGGAGTGATACCAAAATAGACAAAGGTGTGTGTGAGAATTAAAAAATCAAGGTTCAAGCTTCAGATGTCCATTGTGACTGATTCCCAGCCATTTCACCATCTCCAACCACTGATTCCCGCCATCTCCATGACCCCACCCAGGCAGTCTACACCTCTCAAAGCTAAAACCAAGAGTAACAGACTTCATGGACTGGTACCACGCATATCTCTCCACCCAGAACCCGCTCCCAACCAACCCTACTTTATCTAACTCTACGCGTCGGGTTGCGCGGTCGCTAGGCATACGCTAAGCTAGTAACAACTATTTCACTCAGTGGACGTCCACGCCCTTACTGAGTAACTTGCCCTCTTTTCCTAGTACCCTCCACCCAGCCTCGACATCTGTCACATAGTGATTTTATTATACATGAATGGTATCAAGAAGGCACCTCTAGTCAAAACCGTTAGTCTCTTCACACCTTTTATTGGCCACATCTCACAGCTGTATAACAGGACAGAATGAACTACAGCGCCTTTTAATACGTAGGCTGATGAGAATCCCAAAGTAAGTGAAAGGGTTGACGCATGCCACCACTCCACTCCCTATTATTAAACTGGGAGTAGTTGCAGACCAGTCCTGAAGCATCATCATACATCAGACAAGAAACAAATGCATGTTAAATATACTCAGATTTCCGCTCAATGCATTTAGATCCTGCATTGTCAGAGTCTCCACCCGGCAAAAAAAAGTAGTCCACGTATTCCAAGTCAACTAGACGCTAGGTAAGGAGATCAATTTCTGTCAATTCAGAGGTACTCTAGGTTATGTCTATTGTTACATCTATAACGAAATTAAACATGAACGATGAGCATCCCTTGATGACACCGCTAGTTGTCTTTAATCCAGACAACAGCTTTCCATAGGTTCTGACCCAGCTGAGTCAGTTAGAGTAGACAGCTTTGATTAGTGACACATACTTCTTTGGGACTCCCTTCAAAGTCAGACACTACCACACATAATGGTTGAAAGAGTCAAATGCTGCTTTCAGGTCGAAACATATAGCAAGCGTAGGTATACCTGTTTCATAAACTGTAGGAGGGTGAAGATATGGTTTATGCACCCTCATTAACGTCTGCAAACTACCTGGTTTTCTCGAGTTTGCTGTTTTAGAGGTCCACGTAGGCTTCAGATCTCGGACATAATATTATCCGAAATACTTCCCCAAGGGTTACCACAAGAAGATTTTTCTCCTTTCTTACACACTAATGATCAGTTAGGTAGACCAGTCTGACGGGGCTACTTTTGACTCGCATACGCTACCTAATAACTCCATTACTCTACATAGTACTTTCATATCTCCTTCATTAAAAACGTCTGGTTGCAAACCACCAGTTCTCGCTGTTTTGCATCGTTTCAGATTTCATACGGTGTTCCCAACTTTGAGTAAGTTGGAGAACCAGCATTCACACACCATTCAGGTTCAGGTTGGATGCTGGGCACCTAAACTGTGCTTCAGTGTTTCGCCCAACGTTCTAGCCGTCTGTCTATGGTGATGGTTAGTGAAACCATCATCTTCTTCTTGCCAGTATCTTTAATAAGCAGTTGCCGGGTATTGCCTAATGCTGATGCTTTCTCCATTTCTCTTGCTTCCATAACCCACTAATTGGAGTCCAAACTGGTACTCAAGAAGAACGGAAATCCCCAACCGATCCTCCCCAAGGATGATATATAATAATATGATCTAGCCGTGTCCATCGATCTGAAGTCAGCCGATGTCATATGAAACTGTTTTTCTCCTTATGCCTAAAGTTAGTGGTAGCCAGATACAAGTGGTTGTCGGAGCAACATTGCAATATACAAACACCGTTGTCGGTTTCTTCGCATAAGACTCAATAGATACCTCAGAGCTATCTTTTCGACTTGCTCAGCTTTCCTACTTGACCGTTAAAGTCACCTGCTACTATGACTACCTATGAACATTTTACTTTCTGCGGCAAAACTGACAGCTCATAGAATTCATTCTTTGTATCATCCAAACTGCGGTGAGTGGGTGCATGAGCGCAGATTACGAATAGGCATCCATCGGTTTCAGGATTCTTCCAACTTCTCAAACATTCATTCAGTCGGAGAGCATATAGACGGCTATTGTCTAGTATCCTTTCGAGAAGACGCTCTCTGCTCAACAAATCAATGCTATGCTTATACCAGCGAGTCTACGACAGCGAGCTATTAGTTTTCTAGATACTAGCACACTGAATTTTGAAGAACCACCAAATCGTCCAAGAGAAATCAAGTTAATAAAAATACTCGAGTTCTGTGTACATGTCTCAGAAACACAGCATACATCTATGGTTCGGGATTCTAGATTTCTGACAAAGGATGCCCGCTGTTCAATTTGGTGGAGGCTTAGGAAGTTGAAAACTGCAATGTCAAACCAACAGCGTGGCTACAGATCAAAAATGTTTTCCTGGCTCGAATCGTTAACAATGGTCGTAGAGAGGTAGAGGAAGTTGTAAGAGGTTTAATACCGCGACGAGGTAACAGCAAGGAAGACAAAGATAAAGGAGGCTGATCATATTTGGTTTGGATTTTTAAACTGCTCGAAGTGTGTAGGCGGTCGACACTATCCGGTTGCCTTCAACATACCTGAGACACAGAAAGGAATAGTTTTGCGTGATGACAGAGCCCTAACAAGATCCGCTTGAGGTTGTAACATACAGGTGTTTTGGGATTGTTGGATCGATATTTCGTTGTGCTAACTGCAGGACAAAGAAAACCACACCGCCCTCAACGAAATAATGCAGAGCGGGAGTGTGCTACTTTTGGACAGACCTTTGTTGCCTCTTCTTCCCATAGGTAAGACAGCATAAATACGGCACTGCTAATCATTCACAAGAAACTTTGTCGCTGTTATAAGCCCGTCACGCCAGCAGTAGGACTTCACCCTTGACGCCCCATCATAGCGCAGTTATCTACACTATAATGGCAACTGCCCTTCATATCAGCACTATCCAACAGACCTTTTTGACATGGTAGGGCCTCAAGGAACAAGCATCCCATGAGCACACCATGTTAAGTCATTGTGAAATGCCGGCCCGACCACCACCACAAGGTAGCAGATATCAAGCCTATCAACACTTGACTGCATAGGAATTAGCAGCATCCAGTAAATGTTTGGGGATATTTAACCGAACTCTAATATCCTTACAAATGCATAATGCGACTACTTAACTATCAAGCGTAAAATGCGTTAAGTCATTCTTACTTCCATACTGTTATCGACTTATATTCATTTGGTACATGCAAAGAGTAGGACTTCAAACAGAAGTACACATTACGAGGCTTACGCTCTATGGATCATTACTTAATTGGCAAGCTCCATAACTAGTACATTAAACAGGTCTCAGGAAAGCGGCATAAACGAGGAGCTTATGGGAACGTGCATGTCTACAAAAAACCCTGACTTTGCGCACACCAGGTGAATTCTGGAAGAAAAAAAGACTGCATTCCCCTATCCATGCTAAAATAATGTAGCAAGCGGGGTCATGCCACTGGGTCGATGCCAAATACTTGAAAGTTATTTTCCCACACTCCATGACATTCTGTAAGTAGAATCGACTTGGCGTGAAGCTACGTTTCTCCCATCATGTGGTCAACGACTAGAACTCCTTATCTTAACAAGTAGTATCACTTCCTTCGATCAACGCGTTCAAGGAGAAAATAGATCTTCAAAGAGACGTCTTCTCCAAGAATTAACACAGGCAGACTGGCCTACCATCCTTATTACTGAAACTGCATGAAGACATTTTTACTCTGCAATACTTATCTACATACTTTTCCACTGAGCAAAAGCAAGATATCAAGAAAATGTATGAAATGTCAATTTCAACCTGTGACAGAGAAGCATATAACCCACACAGAGCCCAGCCGGAAAAGATTTCGGGTGCACTTTGACATTTTTGGGTAAATCCCGAACTTAACTTCGGGCACAGCTTGGAACTCCTAGGCACATCTCAAAGTTCAAACTTTTTGAAGATTAAATTACTCTATAATTAAATAAACAGTTGCCGATCCCGTATACTGCTCTAAAGAATACACATAAACCAAATGTATTCCCCATAAACTACTTGTTACCTCTTATGATGCCTAATTTTTAAAACTTCGGGCGCACTGCAGACAATTGAGGATTTCTGGGAAAAACTTTGGGGGCGGTTTGACAAACTGAGAATTTTTGGGCGAAATTTTGACATTTTCGGGTGCAACGAAGTTTTAGTGCCGCTTTTTACCCAAAAAGTGCAAAGTGTGCCCAAAGTATTTGCCGGTTGGGACCTAAATGAACATAGCTATGCCCGTCACTAAAGCATCATTAAAGCTAGCTTTAATGAGAACAGTTACAAAAAGAATAACAGAAAACTAGGCAGGCAGTAGACTAACGGCCATGACTAGTAAGAGGAATTGGAAGACGGAGAACACTTGTCACTGGTTGGTAACTTCCATTACATACTCAAACGACTTTAAAATTCAGGCGCATAAAATCGGAAATGGAAAATCCTGTGAGATGTACAATAGTTTCACTATGATGGTCGTAAATGCGGATACGCTTTGCATGCAAAGCACTTGCTTGCGAATATCTAGTAAAGATCACTTAAACCCGCTCCGAAAGATCTAGAAGCGAGTGCGAAGTAATCAATTGGTTTACACTAGCTCGTAAAAAGATAATAGGTATGGGGTATTGGAACCATAATCATACACAGTACAGGAAAAACGGCGAGTAATCATCACAGTTACTGGGCAGAAGCATACATCTGCATCTATACATGCACGCATACATACAAAAACAGGCGACTTTAGGTGTGCCCTACGCGGAACCTAGTTATGACTTCGCGCCAACTATCATTATTGTGATTGGTAGGCGCGATATGACCTTCGAAAAGCCAAACACGATACTTGTTATTCTTGTTAACTTTTCCGCACTGTAGCAACGTATCTGTATGACGTATGATGTTGGGAAGGCAGAAGTGAAATGTCCTTTCGATTGGATGTCACATCAATAAACCTGGTAACAGAGTTCCTTCGTCATGTGCGGCAGCAAATTTTATCAAAGTTGTGGAATTGTAAAACACACCACAAGAGATTTCAGGAGCTGAATTGCTTTGCCAATGAAACCATCATTTAGTGTTACAGCGAACTTGCAGCTACACACACTTCCTCAAAATCAATAGCCTAGGGTTTGACGACATTCAAAGTTGATGCTAACCTTGATAGTTTAACTGGACTCGCACCACCTATGTAGGTCCGAGTTTAGCCCTCGTTAGAAGTAAACAGTCGGGCAACGCGTCCTACCAGGCAGTTTTGGAGAAATATCCAGAGTTGCGACAGCCGATGCATACTCTTCAGTGCATAACCAGCAATGATATGTATCACGTCACAACCACATGTCCACCTGTGGCATCCAAAGCGCGCCATCTAGCCCCTGATAAGCTCAAAACGGCGAAAAGCGAATTCGACCACATGCCTGAACTGAGCATTGTCAAACCGTCAAATAGTCCATGGGCAGCACCACTGCACATGATTCCCAAAAAGGATGGCAACGACTGGCGTCCAACCGGTTATTACCGAAGGCTTAACGCCAAAACAACACCGGTGGATAGCTCAATTATCGAAATTCTTGACAATGTGCCTGGTCATGGGCAGTTACAACAACCATCTGCGCAACAGAAAACACGATCAGGTGGAAACGTCAGGTTCTCGGAGTATTTGAAGTCGTATTCAACTCAGTGGTATGAAACAAGATGTGCCAGCCATATTTTTTTTAATCCAAAATTTTTTTCCGAGGCACCATTTTTCTTATTTACCGGCAATGCTAAACTCCTCGTGCATTTTCTCTGTTTATGTCAATTTTTTCACTACTAACACGTAATGAAACACTTTTCTAAAAAATGCGTAAACTTTATTTCGATATATTTACGTATTCATAATTCCCGCTTTTACGAAGAGTTTTCATGATATTAAGGACTTTTATTTATATTCCAGGTGCAACGAGCACTGGGCGGAACGTCAAAAGGAACTGAGGACCGCGATCGATATCCAATTCGATTTATCGTATTTTACTACTTAGTTGCCACGACACCCTAGAATAAGTTCAGACAACCAGGGGCCACTTCATGCAGTGAGCCCATCGTAAGAGCTTTACCAGTGGGGAAACCACTCGGTTTTTACTCCCGGCTGGTATCGTCTCAGGATCATCACGAACCCACTAGGGGGAGTGATATGTAGCGTCACACGCTTCCTCAAAATCAATAGCCTAGGGTTTGACGACATTCAAAGTTGATGCTGACCTTGATAGTTTAACTGGATTTGCTAAGCTGAAGGCACCCGGTCAAGCATCCTCACCATTTGGCACGCTGTAGTGTTACGTTGCATTGCTCGTATTCGACTCTCTAGTCAGTTAGTTGGAACGCATCGGTATCTTGGTACAACCATCCAAATATACTGTTCCATCCGACTACACTATCGTGTTCTTCCTTGGTCTCGTATTCGTGGGTATATAACAAGTGCGAATAATTAGTGATTGGTATTTGCGTCTGTCAAGTTCACACCAGGACAAATTCTAAAATGTCATAGTTTGTGCGAGATTCGTGACTGCTGCATAAACAAGGACGAAAACAACGTAGACTCGGTATACAAGTACCTAAATGTTGGTTTTAGTTGTCGCGTTGTGGCAAATAGCAAAGACCAAGGTAAGCACTGTAGCGGCGAGCATTACACATACATTTCAGATCTAAATCCTAGGTTTACCCTCTCACCTTCCGGATTACGCCGAGTTCTAGGTGATATTGCGTTACTGTGACTGTTAACACCACACACAACCGCAACTTGTAGGAAGGGCTGCTTATATCTGTGGTGCTGGAGGTTAGAAGACTTAGTGGTGGGCAGCAGATGAGGATTCTGCCGTTAGCCAGACCGAATTCAACTCCAGATGAAATTATGGATATGGTTGGCAGAGTTCGGAAAGCTAATGACCTACAGTGACCATCGGAATTTCGGGAAACCGATGCACCCTTTTAACGTAGCATACTTCTTTCAAACCCAGTTTTGACACTCCTAACGTAAGCTCAATAATTGCTCAATTTTTGACGATAAACATGGTTGGGGACGCTTCTGTCGCACCAGCACAGTTATACTCTTCCTCCATTTGCTTCTTGTGAACATCATCGTGACTTGCTTCCTCGTCCAGATTCGTGACAATATTTTGCATTTCTGTACTTTCTGTGGGCGTGATGCATGTATTTGATGCTAGGTAGTTTTAGCGTTGAATTTGAAGTCTGTAATCCATATTCATTTCCTGGTTTTCTTACCTTTTATATTGTGCTTGTCTTGTTGTTTCATTTTTAAGCCTGCGTTTTGCTTCTCGGTGAGTTGTTTGTACTGATAAACGTCTCCTTCGACTTTGGCTGTAGTATTTCGATTGTATAGCTTACAATATGCTTTAGTGCCCTAAATAATGCTTTTAGCCACATTACCACTGTTAGCTGCGGGTCACATTTGCAGACAGATCATTGCACTTTATAGGAGATTTGGAGATCCGAAACTCGGGTATCCTTTTATTTGCTATGGAATGCATCCTCCTTTCTCGCTCACTACTATTCAAGGGTCAGGAAACAATAATACCATGGCCCCAGCTACCGTGGACATCTGCCGAGTGTTTAATGCTGTAATGCGAACTTGTCAGTACTCAAGCTAGGTTCAGAACGCTGATGCATTTGAACAGATGCAGAAAGTGTGCGTTTTCGTGATGGCTACCATTAAGCAAAATACACGGGATGTAGCAATGAAAAATTACTTACAGAAGGCAAATGTCTTTGGAATCGGTGAAAGGTTTATTGTATACAATCCCAATAATGCGGTGCGCTTGATAGGAAATATGAAAGGCACCTGGTGTTTGATTGTGAGGCCTGCGGCAAACGAATGCTGCCGTGAGCTTAAATGCAGGCTGATCATCAGCATGAATAAGCTCGATCATTTTTATCTTGTAAGGATTAATGGGCTTAAGAAACTTTGTGCCGGCAATACTGTCCCTGTTAATGTTTCAAGATATGAGTTTATTTTCCTATATTTTAAAGAATAGTGGAGGCCGTATGTGCAGTCCCGTTAAATGTCAAAGCGGGCGCGATCCCCCTCTAAATAAGACGAAAAGGCGTTCAGGCTGATATAATGAGAGGTTGCTCCACGTGCGATAACTCAATACACGGCCATTCTAATACTTCTGATGAACTACTGCGGTTGTATACAGTAATATTGGTGTTTTGGTGACTGAAAAGACGAATTACTTTCTGGTAAATAAATTTTTCCACCACACTATTTGCTCCTTTCCCGCTGTATACGATAGTTGGCTTCCACTCAACAAGCAGACAGAGAACGTCGAGATTAAACTTCTAACACAGGTGCATTGAATCTAGTCGCTGCAGTTCACACCAATATGAAAAAAAGAGTAAATGGGGAGGACGGACGTCAAGCTTAAAGAAGGCTCATGGTGTGAGGGGCCGAGTCATCAACCCACGGTTGCCACTGTCACGTGGGCTCCAGTTATATGGTACATATCTCCCCGCATAGCCCAGACCGACGGGCATGAACTTCATGCATTAGTACCACTGCATGTTTTAGTCACCCTAAGCCTTCCCCTAGCCCAGTTCAACTTCTGACATTGTGGATCGAGGCAGGAGGTGGCCCTGCATACGCAAGTACTGTTGCAAAAGCGTCTGTGGTCAGTAGCCCTTAGCCTATCACCACTTTTTAGCCGGCGATATGTCGATGGAAGCCATTTTTTCAGTTGGTTCAACCCCCTATTAACCACAAACAGTGACTGCATTCAATCACTGCAACTACTTAAGCTCGCGCATAATTCCGACGACGCGACTACTTGGTGGCTGGCCCCAAAGGATTAGAGGAAGACTGCCATGGTATATAAACAGTGTATACTTTTAGGAGTTATTGAAAGCACATAAATAGTTCGAACTTTCCGGCTTTTCAAAAACTGATTAACATCCCTCTTAATGTTAACTGTTTCCACACCAGGGATCCCTTTCCTCAGTCTCCACCCCTTGATGTGTATCTGCCAGTGAATTTGCATTGGTCCCTCAAATCGTCTTGGAGCTTCGGCTCACTCGGTATGACATTAGTGAGTGCAATATCACCCAAAGCCACCTTCCGCAATCAAACAACATCTTTTTCACCGCAAAGAAGGCTGTCGTCTTATAAAACGCAACATACATATAGCTTCTGGGGAATGTGGGTTCGATAAGATTATCCCTGCTGGGGATTTTTATGCAACGCGAACGCATACAACCCACGAGGCCAACCTGATAGATGTTTTCACCTTCCATTATTAACCCTTCTTTACCGCTGTAAGGTTTTACGTGGGTACTACGAAGGCCATTAAATTACTTTAACACCCCACGGGCTGCGAGTGGCGTATATATTTATGAAGAAGATCATTTCCCCGGGGATGTCATTTCACTTGCTGAAGCGAACATTCAGCGCGCTTGTTCATGTTGTCACTCAGTGCAAGCGTTTCACGTAAGTATGCTGATGCCAACGTTTCTATCTTCAGCACCCAGTTTTGTCGTATGCACCAGTATGGCGATCCATAGTGTTAATTAAGTGCAAACGTTCATGAAATTTGAGGGTTCACCATTTGTTTTCTTGAAACAGGCTTTCACGAGGGGATTATGAGTCTGAGACTTAATGATGAACGACAATCTTATATCTCACCTTCCCACTGAGTGCTCAGCTTACACAAAACTAACAAAGAACAATCTTAACGAAGGCGGG